GAGAGAGAGAGAGAGAGAGAGAGAGAGAGAGAGAGAGACACACACTAGAGGGAAACAAGCTATTTTGCCTTGGACAACTCATGTAAGCTGTGTGGTTCTTCCTGTTCTCCCTTCCCCACTGGTTGTTGGGAAATCAAATGTAAAAGCATCATGTAGGGTGAAGGACTTTGTACATGTAAGCCAGTCTTAGCTTCCTGACTGACAAAGGGGGTTTCAATATTGCAAAGTGCAACTTATTGAATTGTGGACCATAAGGATGAACTTCCACTGTGAGAGGATGGACGCTGATGCTAAATTGCTTGGAATTTAATCCCAGCAACTTAGTTTACTAACGGTCATTTGACATTGGAAATGTTACTTAAACTCTCTGTGTCATGGATTTTCACCTGTAAAATATGAAAAGAGTATTTCTCAATTGATAACCTAGCTGTGAAATAGCAACAAATTAATACATGAAAAATAGTTTGAAGAGCCTGACCTGTACAAAAAACATAAGCTAACACACATTTTTTTTTGTTTACATTTGGAAGATTGCTGAGAACCTCACGCCATTGGAAGTTCCGTGTGCCTGCTATCTAAAAGGCGCATGTGTAAATCTTTTTGCATTTAGTAGATGCTGTGGGCTTGATTTCTTGTTCCTTTCACCACTGAACATCCTGTGAATGGCAGTGTCTCCCACTCACTTAGCTTATTGTCAAGTCCATCATTCTGACTCTGAATCGTGGGTCCTTGCTGGGCTCTGCTAACAGCTTCCATCAGTTTAATGTCATATAGTTTAGACCAGTGATGGCGAGCCTATGACACGCGTGTCAGAGGTGACACGCGAACTCATTTTTTTTGGTTGATTTTTCTTTGTTAAATGGCATTTAAATATATAAAATAAATATCAAAAATATAAATCTTTGTTTTACTATGGTTGCAAATATCAAAAAATTTCTATATGTGACACGGCACCAGAGTTAAGTTAGGGTTTTTCAAAATGCTGACACGCCAGGCTCAAAAGGTTCGCCATCACTGCATTAGCGTAATTGGATGAAGAAAATATTCCCAGAGAGAGTGACTGTTTCTTATTCAGAAAAAATAAAAAAGTCATTATCCTGTTTGGTAGGGAGTAATTCCCAAACCTGAACCATGCTCAGAATGACCTGACTCCCAAGTCCCACCCAAGACTTCCTGAATCAAAAAGTTCAGAGATGGGGCTCAGGACCTGTGTGTTTGGCAAGCCCCGCAAATGACTCTTAGGTAGCCAGGTAGGAGGAGTTGGGAACTATAGTATCTAAGGCTCGAGAAAAGCTGACCTTCAGTAATAAACAGCATCAGGGCTCTGGTCTGTGACTTCAATACCAAAGGACAAAATGGCTTGTGGTCTGAGAGTCCGAGCTCCACCAATGTGATGTCCATGCTTCCCTAGCAGATAATAAACACTTACAGATTCTGAAATTCTGTGCAATGACAACAGACACCCAGGTCCAGGAATTTGCAAAGGCAGCCCCGCTGCAGAAAAGAAGAAAAGGCAGATGTAAGGAGCGATGGGGCCGCCTCACAGACGTGGCCTTCCACATTACAGTACGTGGAGCCCTTTGGAGAAAATACAACTCCAGCTGAATCCAAGTCGGGAGGCAGGATCCCTAAGGTCCAAAAAATAACCAATCAGGCGACAGGATTTCTAACAGATCCAGGGCATGCATTTACCAGCCCAGGTTGGTTATACTTACAGTGGTTCTCAACCTTCCCAATGCCACGACCCTTTAATACAGTTCCTCATGTTGTGGTGACCCCCAATTTCATTGTTACAAATTAAACATAATTAAAGCATAGTGATTAATCACATTAACAATATGTAATTATATATGTGTTTCCCGATGGTCTTAGGAGACCTCTGTGAAAGGGTCGTTCGACCTCCAAAGGGGTCGCGACCCACAGGTTGAGAACCGCTGCTTTAGAAGTAGGAACTCTGTTTCCACGGGAGCACAAAGTTGGGCAGTTTTGTGCTGAGGCCGCGTGGACCTGGTGGTTCTGCTGGGGCCCGAGGCCTTGGGGCGGTCGGCAGCCCTGCGCGAC